TATATATATGTTAACCTTGTGAGCTGAATAACTTGAAAAACAACCATGCTGACTTCCATTGGTGTGTTGCTGCATCGAGGCATAAGAAAGGTCACCATTAAATATTGGGTTGCCAAGTCAAAAAACAAAATGGCCACCATCATATATACCATTACGTAAACCGACCACCCCTAACATTTTAGGAAACTATGCTTTCTAGTTTTTTATATTGCTTAAAACTATAGTTTCATCAAATGAATGGGGTGGCAAAGATTAATCTATGGTGGCCAAGGTCCCCACTGGCCACCCTCTGGCTCCACCATTACACCTGGTGCTGGTTAAAATTGCTCCCTCCACTCCCCAGGATCTGTCACTCTTTGCTGCCTAGGACAAACAAAAAACAAAAACTCACCTCTGTTCTTATACACAGTGTAACTCCTACCTACTTGCAAATCTTGCACCAAAAACTTTGTTTACTTGCATTCCCTGTTCAGTTCCAGTCCAGAAAAACACTCATCATGAAAACTACAAACATTCACTGTTTAAATCCTTCAGCGTCGAGGGACATCGGCACACCACTTGTTTGTTTTGACCTTTAAGGACAAAGGCTAAATTGCAATATAAAAGCCTTAAAACATGTGATCACCTTGTCCTACAAGACACATTTAAAACCAAAGAGCAATTTATTATTATTTTTATTTATTTATTTTTCTACCATCTTTTGCATTAAATGCTGAATGTTTGGTTCAGCTGCTGTGATTTGTGATTCTTGGGGCTATTTGAGCACCTCGTATAGTAAATCTGGAGAGAATCTGTCCTCGCAAGAGTTTTACGGAGAGGCGGATACGAGATGAGTTGAATCGATGCATGATGAATGTTCTGGTTGAAATATGTGAGCTTTAATTGTAGCTTATAACTGCTGGAATGGATTATTCTGACTTTCGACCCCACAAATACTGACTGGCACGCTTAATTTATTTCAATCAGAATGCACAGTTTGACGGTGGGGCCCTTTTCTGTCTGCACCAGTGCAGATTATTAGAGGCATTAAAGATTTTAATCCATGCAACTTCTGTGTACCTTCAGGTGATGAAGACCTACCACATGTACCACTCGGAGAGCATCAATGCTGAGAGCAAGCTGAAGGAAGCTGAGAAGCAGGAGGAGAAACAGATTGGCCGGGGGGACCCTGTGTTCAGCATACGGATGGAGAGGAAGATTGAGAAGATAAAGGAGAAGGTAGAACGGTTTTCACAAGCTTCATACCCCAGTGTTGCTCAAGTTTGTAGCATTTAAATAAAACATATCCAGTAACTCATTCACTTTTCTTTTCCACTTTAAATAGGGATGAGCATTTTAAGCAAAAATGTAAGCTCACCCATAACCATAGTTTCTACTTCTTTCAAAGTAAAACACGATGACAGAAAAATGACAGGCTGCTGTGTTGAGCTGTACATTTTGGGTTGAATAAAGCACACCATCTGCAAAAGCACCATTATGAAACAGAATATTAGAATTACAATAAAACAGCCCCGCCAGTGACAAGAATTCTTTGAATTTCCCTATTTAACTAGACTTAAAGTTTGAAAACCCACTTCCCGTCCGCAATCTTAAAGTAGTTTCAAAACAAGAAAACGTCTTGTAATTGCTCTCATCTTTATTACTTCATACAGTGATAGAAAACCTGTGCGTTTTTGGCAGCAGTCCATTTTTTTGTCTCTAAAGTCTCCCAGACGTGTGTAAAGGTAAACACTGTAAGCATTTTCACGGCCAAACAAATCTGGCTGATGTTTTACTCCCAGAACAGGCCTGTAAGTTGTTAAGCATCTGTGTAAAATGACTGAAAACTGATGGAATTGTGTGTTTTACACAACTTTTCCAAGAATGCACGCAGCATTGCTAAGAAATGACTGATGATGAGTCAGAGTCCATTGGTCAGTCAGTGACGAACAGCCTCATGATTGTCTGGTGTTGGATGACGACATTGGCTCAGACTGAGGCATCATAGCAGAAGCTTAAAACAGAGGCCGTTTTAAAATATATTTGACTGTTTTTATTAAACATTTGAGTGTGTGGTGCGAGTCTTGATTTGCCATCTAGCTGTTCACTTGTCATTATTGTGTGAATGTTTATGAAGCATTCACACTATTGTCATCCATTTTTCTTCCGTACGTTTTTCAGCGCGATTCTCGTCCCGCAGTTTTCTGGTTATTTCAGCAGTTCATAAATCAAAACGTTCGGCTCTTTCAGGACAATCCTGCTATGGCTTTTGCCGTTGGTGCGTCTTTAACTTTTTGGAATATTTAGCCCTTTCTGCCATTTTTTTCCTCACAGAAATTGAATTGAGCTCATTTTACATCCTTCAAATCTTTAGATCTGTTTACAACCTTTTATTGCTCCTTTCACATTTTGTTCTGGTTCAGCTTCTTTCTTGTGCAAGTTTAAACTTTTTTCAGCTACTTTCAGCTAATTTCAACTGTTTATTCAGCTGTTTTGAGCACCTTTCAGATTACTTTTGCTAACTACATTTGTGTGCTTCTTATAACTTCTTTCTACTAATTTCAGCTTTTGCTCCTTTCAGTTTATTTCTGCAAGTTTCAGCTTTTGTTACTATTTCAGCTACTATATAGCTGTTTTTTGTTGCTAATTTTAGCTTTATTCGGATGATTTCCACTTTTTTGTGCTCATTTTTGTTTCTTTCAGCCTAATTGAGCAAGCATGTGTTCTTTCTGCTTTCTTCACCTAAATAATTTAAGCTTGTTCTGCCTTTTCAGTTAACTTGTTAGCATTTTTGGCTAATGTCATCAGTTTTCAAATAAATTCAAGTTTTTTTGTGGTAATTTCTGCTACTTTCAGCCTAATTAACTTCATTCTGCTAATTTCAGATTATGCTCCTTTCAGCTTTTTTCAGCTAGTTTCAGCTTCTTCTCCTAGTTAAGCTACTTTTTAGCTGTTTTGTGCTAAATTTAGCTTTTTCAGCTAATTCCATATTTTTTGAGCTCATATCATATCTTTCCACTTCCTTCTGGTACTTTAGGCTTATTTCTGCTTTTTAAGTTAACTTTCAGCTATTTTTTTTCTGCTAATTTCAGCTTTTTTAACTAATTTCCTAATTTTGTGTGCTCATTTCTGCCTATTTAACTCTAATTCAGCAAATATGTGTTCTTTCTCCTTTCTTCTGCTAACTTTGGCTTGTTTTTCCATTTCAGCGACATTTCAGCATGTTTTAGCTAATTTCAGCTGTTTTTCAGCAAGTTCTTCAGGAATAAGCATTGCAATTTTTCTAGTTAAATTTAGTATTTCTCACTCATTTCTGCCCCATTTGTCTTGTCAGCGCCAAGCCAAGTACTCTGAGAACAAGCTGAAGTCCATCAAAGCCCGAAACGAGTACCTGCTGACACTGGAGGCAACAAATGCATCCGTTTTTAAATACTACATCCATGACTTGTCAGACCTGATTGACGTGAGTATGACAGCAGCAGTTTTATGAGAAAACGGAAGCACAGTCCTTCATTTGATTGTTTTTCTTTGTGTAGAAAAAACATTAAGTGGCGTTTTCACTGTCTTTTAGATTAAAGTTCTCGTCATAATCAGCAAGCAGATGTCTTAACATCTTGGTTTGTTTAAAAGCTTGTTGTTGTTTTGTTTTTGGCACACTTCAGATCATCCAAATGCAGAACAAAATCAGCTCAGACTTTGGTTCTGTTTAATGTAATTTTCAGCAAATGATTAGTTTAAAACAGCATCCTGTGTTTCTTCGGAGCTTTACAAGCAGATTGCTTTGCCTTTTTCAGGCCATCACGCAGATAAACATGACTTATTTATGATCTGCCTCACCGGGGTTTTGAATATTTTTCAGAGCCACTATGTTACTTTCTGAGGAAAAAGGAGCAGGGTGAGGTTTGAGCTGAAGTTCTGAGATTTTATATTCCAAACAGGACTGAAGAGAGACACCGCTTCTTTATGACAACATGCTGTGTGCTGAAATTACCCCTCTCCCTGCTTAGCTCACAAGCCTTCACATCTCACCAGGGTGCGTGTGTGTGTTGGGGGTGATACAGTGTGGGATGCACTCTGTGTGAGCACACTCGCACACGTCTACATTAGTGAAACAACTTTTTTTATAGCCACAAACAAAGTATACAAGCAGGACAGTGGACCAGAACCGTTCCAGTACCTTAATTTTAGCTGTTTTTGCCTTCAAATCACACTCTTAGTGTCTGAATTTGTGTTGGAGGGTTGTTGTTTGTTTTTTCTAGGATGAAGATAAAAAATTTCTTTGCTAAAAATCTGCTTTAGACCCAGAAAAGTGAAATTTATGCAATACTGCAGGCTTAGAAAGCTTTGAAATAAATCCCTGTCTTCCATGAAGATCAAGCCAAAGCTTGTTTTTAGCCATGGATCTTGGGTAGATATTAACAAACAAGTAAAATAATCTAACCGCATAAACATAAGTTTGTTTATTTATTTGCTTTTTCCATTGACTACTTTTGTTATGAGGAAGGTTCTGGTAAAAAATAAAAAAAAATGCCCCCATTCTAAATTATATGGAGAGCTGTTCCAGTAAAAAAACTGATTCCAAAAATGTCCTATTTTCTTTGTTTCAAGGTGAAAAATACTGTAGAGACAACATTTAATCCATATTAGAAGGCTTGTAGTAGTTGCTAAAATGTTTATTATTTTTCATACAGAACTATTATTATTTTGTTGACTTGAATTAACAAAGTTAAAATTTATCTGTATGCTTGCAGTGTAGAACATCAATTATAGCAAAGATTGCATTCATTGTCATTTATGTCATTCTGCTCCTATAAACGGCATTAAACAGCAATTTAGATTGATGTTCTTAGGTTTATTTTTTATTTTTTTGTATTATAATATTTGAATTGTCAGTCTTTCTTTGTATAATTCTTCTTTGTCATTTTGGGTGTTCTAGATCAGGGGTCTGCAACCTTCACGATCAAAAAGAACCATTTCTGCCCTTTCCATCATTAAATTAAATGTGTCCAGAGCCACAAAACCTGCTACAATTGTCATTATCAACTGGTGGCCCATGGGCCACTTTAAGTTTATTGGAGGAGGCTTGTCTGGCCAGTAGGTGAAATTATAAAATGAAAAACATCCAGTGATTGTTAACATTTATTGATATTTTTACATTTTGAGACAAAAGAAAAGACTGGATTCCATCCATCCATCCTTTATCTTTACCCGCTTCTTCCTTTATGGGTCACTGGTGCCCATATCCAGCAGTCTATGTGCAGGAAGGGGCAGGGGACACCCTGAACAAGTCACAAGTCCATCACAGAAGACTGGATTATTGTAAAGAAAAATATATATATATATATTATTTTTGCCATTTAAACAAAACTAAAACAATGAACTATGCAGGCATATGTGATTTTATTTTATTTTTTTCATTGTGGAGCAATTGAGTATCCTACTTTGAAGTAATAAAAGCATTAAAAAAAAAGAAACTGTCCAGATGACCTGACTGAAAATTGTTGGATTGTAAACCTGGATTATTGAGCATGGACTATTTTGATTTGAATAAAGCATAAAGTTAAAGTGAATATAGTGTACTCATATATTAGTACTAGTATCTACATAATTGCAAAGAGGGGAGTGGTGGCGCAGAGGTTAGAGAAGTTGGGCCTGTGATCGGAAGATCGCCGGTTCAAGCCCCGGTACCGACATCAAAAATGTGGGTGGGGTAGGTGAAGCACCCACACCTGCCCCCACCCTCATTCGTCCCACTCTGGGCCCTTGATCAAGGCCCTTAACCCCCACCATCTGCTCCTCCGGGTGTCCTAGATAGCAGCTCTCTGCTCCACACAGAGGGCTGTGGTAGCTCAGTGTCTGTGGTTGCTTCAGGAAGGACATTCGACGTAAAAATAACTGCCACGTCTTCATGTGACTTAGTTTGCTGAGGCGACCCTTAACGCAGGGAGCAGCCGAAAGAAGAAAAAAAAATACATAATTGCAAAGGAAATGACAGGAAAACTGCTAAAAGTAGTCATTTGTTGTTGTGGGTATAACATCCTATAAAATTCAGTTTTATTATTTTTGTTCAAAGCTTGAAAGAGCCGCTGCAGAGGGACTAAAGAGCCACATGTGGCTCCAGAGCCGCAGGTTGCAGACCCCTGTCCTGGATGACACAAAACAACCCATCTGAAGCAGTTTTCTTTTTTCTTCAGTGCTGTGATTTGGGATACCATGCAAGTCTGAATCGGTCTCTGCGGACCTACCTATCAGCAGAGTACAACCTGGAAACGTCGCGTCACGAGGGTCTCGATATCATCGAGAACGCGGTGGACAGTCTGGACCCTCGAAACGACCGACAGAGGTTTATGGAGATGTACCCCACGGCCTTCTGCCCTCCAGCAAAATTTGATTTCCAATCTCACATGGGAGACGAAGTACGTAGTGAAGCAACAGTGATCTTGTAACAATTAGGTTTCACGGTTCTGTAGAAAACAATGTTTTTTTTTTTGTTACAATTCCTCTGGAAAAGTGCTCGTTCAAATTTAAAGAAAAAAGTTTCAGACACAACAAAATGAGGTCAGCTATTAAATGTTCAGCGTTTTATTGCAGCTAGGCTGCCAATCAGATTTTACGAGCCACAGAACTGACAAATTATGCGCATTTTTTTAATTTTTCTTCCCCTGCAGTCAAGTAGCTCAACATGTGTTGGGAGTTTTATTAGCCGACTGCCATTGTGCTGATCTCATGTCTGCCTGACTTTAGTTTGCAGAAGTTTGCTCTGCAATGTAAGAAGAATTCAGATGCCTGATTCAGCTTATCTGTGTTTTAACAAATGTTTTATTTTTTGTTTTAGGTGAGTCAGGTCTCTTTACAGCCACCAGTAAATGGGGAGCTCATGCTGAGGTTCCAGCAGCTGCAGTCTCGCTTGGCTACTCTAAAGATTGAAAACGAGGAGGTAAAACTTTTTCTGTACAACAATCATCCAGATATTCGTAGTGCAGAGTGTTTAGATCTGTTAAACCCGACATCTTCGCCTCCAGTTTTGTTGACTGGAAGTTTAGCATTTCTGCTGCAAGGTGTAAAGAAAGTAGTTGCTGTGAATTCATGAAGCTTGACATATTTTTCTTCAGTGTTTTGCTCCCACTGCTAGAACTAAGCCCTGTTTTTATTTGTACTAAGCATGATGCTCTGTCTAACATTAAGAGTGCATATTTAAAGTAAAAAAATAAATAAAAAGGATAGAGCATTTGCAACGTGCTAAAGTAACTTGACATTTGTCGTTAAAAAAAGAAAGAAAAGCATCGACTGTCGGTTTCACAGTTTGTTCTCACATCCATCTTTTTTAAAAAATTTTATTATTTATGTCACGTCAGACCTGCTTCCTCTGTGAGCTTTCACTGGCATCTGATGTTTTTCTGCACATTTGGCTTTCTTTAATCTTTCCACAAAGACACAGAAACATGTCACTCACCTTTCTTGAAAATCTCAAATAAAACTGTCACATCTGAGACGAGCAAGCACCTGTGGGTGGTAAAGACTGACTCGTGGCAGTATTTAGACATATCTTATGCAGAATAACAGGAGTTACCTTGAATAAAATATAGATATGTGGTTTGTTATTATGTAATTAAACTACATAATAAAAAAAAATACTGTTACAAATGCACTATTGATAAAAAGTGCAGCATGAATTATGTAGAATATAAACCGCAGTGACAAATACATTTAGCTTCAACAACAAAGTCCATGCTCAATAATCCAGGTACACAATCCAACATTTTTCAGTCAGGTCATCTGGACAGTTTCTTTTTTTTTGTGCTGAAACGTTTCGCCTTCGGTCCGGAAGGCTTCATCAGTCCATGAAACACACAACAAAAATGATTCTTCCCCCAACAGCTTACTCCAAAGTGGAACAAACCAGTTTTGCTTGTGATAAGATGGTCTCTTTGGTACGCCCCCTCCTCCATTGCCGGATTTTATACCTGGATTATTGAGCATGGACTTTGTTGTTTTTAACCAGTTTGACAAGACTGTCAACAAGGAAGAGGGCCGGCGATGGAGGAGGGGCGTACCAAAGACACCATCTTATCACAAGCAGAACTGGTTTGTTCCTCTTTGGAGTAAGCTGTTGGGGGAAGAATCAGTTTTGTTGTGTGTTTCCTTGACTGATGAAGCCTTCCGGATCGAAGGCGAAACGTTTCAGCACAAAATAATAATAAAAAAAGAAACTGTCCAGATGACCTGACTGAAAAATGTTGGATTTAGCTTCAACAGTTAAAAACTCTTAATGTGAAGCAGCAGCTGTGTTTAATGCAATTTAAAGCTGCGTCGGAATAATCAGTGACGATGAAGTCTGCCATGTAGGATCAACAGTAATTTTCAATTATACACCAATCAACAGCAACATTTTAAACACTGATCATCTTGTTACATTTTGCACCAATCAGGTGCAGACGACAAGTTAGGGGGGGGGTTCTTTGATTTGACATTTGATGCAGCAGAACTCAGCAAGATGGTCACATGGGACAGTCTGTGTTGATTGTTAGAGTAACGATCAAAAGTGGTTCAAGAAAGATGCACTTTTTTTTTTTTTATTATTTATTTGTGTATTCTTTTTAAAGAGAAGAGATGGCAACAGGATGCACTAAGGAAGTTAGGTAGAATGTGTGATTTTCCTCTAGGGCTGTTCTCTGCAGACAAACTGTTTCCATTTGTGTGTGTATCACTTCGACAGGCTTCACTCATCTCAGTATTTTTGCTGACCAAATAGACTCCTTCATGACAGTGGTCTTCTGGATGCCAGTGCTCTTCCTGCTATATACAGCACTCTGGCAAATGGCAGAAGTGGTTCAGGAATAGTTTAAGGAGCGTAAGTTTAAGGTGTTGATGGGTCTGCTGCTAACATCTAAGTGTCTGGTTTCATAACACATTACCAGAGGTTTTCCTGAGCCTGTGTCTAAGTGGGTCAGAGAAGTTTTGGCTTCACAACAGAGACCCACATCGTGTTAGGCAGCTTGATTTCATGTTGAGTCTGCTTCAAAAGTACTCCTCACAACATCTAAAATAAAAAGTTTATCTTGAAGTATATCTAATGGTGCAGTGTGAAAGGGTTTACTGCGGTAGTTTTCACAGATCTGTTGAAATGGGCGTCCGCATACAGAGTACACAGAGCCCTCAGCTGAAAAAAACAACATGTGGACGCTGGAGTTCAAAAACTGTCAGTCGGTTGTAGCATCGGACGTGCATGATCACTTACAACAATTAACAACAAATTCAGTAGTTAACAAATATTAACTTACAAAACATACAGCACATTTCTACTTTATTGTTTTTGACATTATAGTTAAGTAAGCATCTGCATTATCATTAAAGTTGTGGGTTTGTGACCTTACTGGTACTTCCCACAAAGTTGAGTCAGGTCATCTGGACGGTTTCTTTTTTTTTTTGTTCTTGTTGAGACATTTCGTCCTTCATCCAAAAGACTTTTGTCAGTCCGAAGAGCCACAACAAACTCAGTCTCATAAGCAGCACATTCACATAGCGAGCCATCCAGTTTGATGGTGATAAGATGGTTTCTGGAGCCCGCCCTCTCCCCCGTCGATTCTCTGAGGCAGCCATTGCCGATGTGGTTCAAAACACCAAAGTTCATACTCAATAATCCAGGTAACAAAATCCAACAATGTTCAGTCAGGTCACCTGGATGGTTTCTTTTCTTGTTGAGACGTTTCGTCCTTCATCCAAAGGACTTCGTCAATCCGAGGAGCCACAACAAACTCAGTCCCACAAGCAGCACACCCACATAGTGGGTCAACCAGTTTGATGGTGACATTACCAGTACTTTATACTCTAGCCTTCAGGAGTGAAAAAAAATTCAGCTCAGTAATTACAGTTGCAGAGTTCACAGTATTTCTAAGCACATATAAAACACTCCTGTGTATTTGTGTGTGTGTATGTGTGTGAGGGAGGCTTGTCCTTGTCTGCCTGCTTTGTTGAGGCGGATGTCCTCCTGATGGGTCAGAATTGGAGGGCAGCAAAGCTTCATGTAAGGATCACCAGATGGCCCATTTTCCTGCGCACAGCGTGCCAGACACATCCTTGAAAACTGAACTTTCAAAGCGATCTACAAGCTCCGCTGTCAAATGTATGAAAGACAAAAGGAGTTTGTCTTTATCTGGACAGGAAAAGTGACAGGGCAGAGCTTTGGAAGAACGTGCAGCTGCATCCTCAAAGAAAATCGTGCTGAACAAGTGCACCGCTGGTGGGTGGGGGTGTGAAATGCAAGGGTTTCACTATTTTTGTGGATTTGAGGACAACCCCCTGCTTGTCTCACTGCCAGACACTTCAGTCCACTTCTTTCATTAATAAAGTTTGTCTTCAAGGACATAATTAGTTTCCCATTTAAATCTCATTTGCCTCTGAATGACCCAAAGCTCAGGCAGACTCATTTTCCTTTGTGGTGTCTGGTTTCATTCATCTTCTAAGCAAATAAACAAGATGGTTTTCTTAAAATGCTTCACACCAAACTCCGGCAATCTAATGCCATCACAGGGAGGGTTTTTTTTTTTTGTCCAGATAGATATCAGGGAGGCACATCAAAGCTTGTCTGTGTGTGCTCCTAGTTTGATGTTCACCAGATTACACACTCAGTGCAGGCTCTGTTGAAAGCGTTTGGACGGCAGTCTGCCTTCTGAGATGTGATGGATATTTAAATAGCTGTTCACTGATGCTTACAACCGATAGGAGTCACACAAATTTCAAATGTGTTGAGTAGAAATATTTAGGCTTTTTTGACAGAGCAAATCTTAATTTGGCTTCTAGTTGATATAAACTCTACTAGGACTGTCACAATTAATCGCATGACAGCCCATGTCACGTCAAGGGGCCTCCCTCCCATTTTTCTTAGAGACACGCTGCTCGCTCCCTCACTATCCATCCTTTGCTTCAAACAACTTTATATTGCCATCCAGTGGTCAAAAAAATTTACTACACACAAAAATTAACCAACATTTCTTATTAAATTAGACAATTACTAATTATTGTTACATTTCCAGTAATATTATCGTTTATCACAGTAATTTCTGAGACAATTAATCGCCCAGAAAAATTGGTTATCGTGACAGGCCTAAACTCTACTAATGCTAGTAGTGATGAAATATTAATACTGAACTCTTGGAAATAGCTGAGTGGGAAAAATAAACTTAATCCCCAACCGGAGGGTCTTTGTTCGGGTGTGTTGTGCAGCTGCAGGGTCTGAAGGGCATATGCAGTGCGTTTCTCCGACAGGTCCGTTGTAATTGAGCCCAGCAGTGTACACTGGTAACTATTCGTCTGCTGAATAATGGATAAACCCAGCAGCTTTTTCACTGCAAGCGATTCTCTCGCATGCATGGCTCCTGTCTTTAAATGACAGCTGGAACGCTTGCTTCCAGCGGATCCACTCGGGATGAGGCTGCCAGGGGGAGAGGAATCCCAAACACACTTGGAAATTGTGTAACTAGTGACTCATCTGTCTCACAATAAATTATCTACACTAAGGACGTGTCATAACACTTTAAAAAGTTTATTTTTTTATGAAAATATACCTTTTAGGGTTGTAAAATTTGTAGCTATTTTTCTTGCATCCTATCAGATCATGATGCAACCCGTGCTGTGTGTTTACTCTGGATAACAGTAACTACATCCACACCGTGTGTCTGAACATGTGTGTCTGAACATGTGTGTCAACACTGTGATCCATCATAGTGATTCCATAGCAAGTTCTCCTTGTGTTTTAGTCCCTTTATTCGCTTTAAAAAAACACGAAAGGCTCACTAGTAAAACTGATTGAAAGAAACAAGATGTTTTCTGTATTTAAATCAGTAATCCACTGTTTTTTTTTTTTAATTGGAGATCAGATAAACTTAAAAACATTGAAATTAAATCTAACAAAGTTAAGTCAGGTCCTCTGGACAGATTCAAAAATAAAATAATAATAAATAAAATAATTTTAAAAATTGTTGAAACGTTTCATCTTTTATCCAAAGCACTTTGTCAGTCTGCGGAGCTGCAATAAACTCAGTCTTATCAATAGCTCCATCTCATAGTGGATCAACCAGTTTGCTGGTGACATCCAAAACTAGCTGTTCACATGATAAAGGAGGAGCATCAGCCTATCGACTGATCGTTAGTGCCCTGATGGCCACTTGCTATCCATTGAAATGAAGTAATTACCTTTGAATTGAGGTTATTTTGTTAATAAAAATAATAATAATAATAAAAAAATCCTCAATCAAAGACCAGATTTATTTTTCTCAGTATCAAAATTCATGCTCTATAATCCAGGTACAAATCCAGCAATGTTCAGTCAGGTCATCTGGACCTTTTTTTTTTTTCCTGAGACGTTTCATCCTTCATCCAAAGGACTTCAACAGGCTGAGGAGCCTCAAACAAACTAATTCCCACAAACAGCACACTCCCATAGTGGAAAAAAACAAAACAAAACAGCTTGCTGGTGATAAGATGGTTTCTGGAGCCCGTCCTCTCCCCCGTCAACTCCTCTGAGGCAGCCATGCCAAAAAAAAAAAAGCTACAACAAAAAAGAAACCATCCAGATGACCTGACTGAACATTGTTGGACTTTTTACCTGGACTACTGAGCATGAACTTTGATGTTTTGAACCACTTTGGCATGACTGCTTCAGAGAGGAGCTGCTGGGGGAGAGGGTGGGCTCCAGAAACCATCTTATCACCAGCAAACTGTTTTTTGTTTTTTCCACTATGGGAGTGTGCTGCTTGTAGGAATCAGTTTGTTTGTGGCTCCTCGGATTGTTGGAGTCCTTTGGATGAAGGACGAAACATCTCGGGGGAAAAAAAAAGTAATTGCCCAGATGACCTGACTGAACATTATTTTTCTCAATGTTCTCCATCTGTAGAACCTATAAAACAAGGAGTCATATCAGGTAATTGTACACCTGAATCTCTCCATCAAGTACTTATAAGTATTTTGCTGTATTTTTCCAGAAAGGTGGACGTTCTTGTTACCTCATCAGCAGGGTTTTATTTCCTCTGCAACTTTTCTGCACCAGTGACTCATACTCACACTTATCATTCCCTCCATCTCTGTTGTTTTTTTTTCCTGTCTTTCTGTTGTTATTACTTTATTCTGTATTAAAGGCCTCACATTAAACCAGTCTGTTTTACTAGTAATTTGGCCAATTGCACGTCAGTGAATTACTCTGATGGTTTGAAGTTAAAGAGGAACAGTCTCGACCCCTGGCTCTTTCTAATCACCTGTAATCATGCTGTCACTCAACATAAACACATGTTCATATTGTTATTCTTATTCCCCCTCATTTAGACCCTTTAACATGTTCCATTTAGCTGGACCGAAGTGCAGATTGTAATGCATTCTGAATAAACTGACAACTGAGATACAGTTTAGTTTTGCTGAACTGTCTGTTTTATTTCTTCTTTGCTGTTGGGGTGACTCTCGAGTTCACCCATTGCTTTGCTCAAACATTTCTTTATTTTTTATATTTCTTTTCAAAGTATTGAACAATGCCATTACCTCTCAGGCGCCAAAATCGACCCTCACACAGTCGGATCTAATTTTCTGTCCCCAAGTTGAAGCCACAGCCTGGAGCTTTCGTATAGGTTGAACATCCTGTCCAAAAGGCTGGGCAGGAGCATTTGGCCCCGTCCTTGTATTTTTATGCTTATGGAGAAGCAGCATTGACGGGGTAGAGGCAGTTATGGATATGAATGGTTTAAAGCCAGCAAGTGAACGCACCATCTCCAGCCAGCACTGCTCACCTCCGGCCCCTCTGAGTGCATGCAAATTGATTGCTTTGGCTGGGAGTCGTGTTCAACAGCCTGTGGAATTTCAAGGACTTGTCGGAAAGCACCTGAATTTTTCAGTGTCAGGAGATGGAAAGTGTGTGATTTACTGAGGGGGATGAAACAAGTGCGTGATGGCAACATCGTGATGGTGAAGACATGACATTAGGCTTTTAAGTAGGGGCCTTTTTTTCGCTGACCAATCTTTCACCTCCTCTTCCAACAGGTCAAAAAAACATCAGAGGCCACTTTGACCACCATCCAGGACATGGTGACCATCGAGGACTATGACGTGTCCGAGTGTTTCCACCACAGCCGGTCCACAGAGTCGGTCAAGTCCACCGTGTCGGAGACGTACCTCAGCAAGCCCAGCATCGCCAAAAGAAGAGCCAACCAGCAGGAGACAGAGCAGTTTTACTTCATGGTGAGTGCCAGAAAGAACTTTAATAGACAAAGATGAAGTGGAACGACTTCAATTATTTAATTTATTCCTGCACTAAATATCAGATTTATATGTATTTGTAAAAAAAAGGGGAAATGCATGTCTTTCCTCTAACTGTGTCCTCAAAGTAATCAGACAAGTCAGATCTTTATTTTAATTTAAATGATCTCTTTCGACTAAAGCCCTTGTGAAATCCCTAATCAGTTGGCGGGGGGGCTAACTCTCCCTAAATATTTCCATTTTGTAAAGCAAACAACTGTCTTGGTCCGGTTGGAAGATGGACATGCTCTGATAAGGGCTTTAAAAAGGCTTTCAGTGCGTCCTTTGCCCTTGGCTGCCTTATCACTGATTGCTGTCTTGAGAGCTGGCACTCGGGGCCGCCGTGTAATTACTCTCGATTCTCCACAGAAATTCCGTGAGTTTCTGGAGGGCAGTAATCTCATCTCCAAACTGCAGGCCAAACACGACTTGCTGAAGAAGACACTTGGTGACGGTAAGCTCTCTTTACTTACTGTGCTTTAAGAGCTCTAACTTGCTTGTTTGCGTTTTTGTATTTGCATTATTTCCCTTCTATCTGTATTAATACAAAACAAATGAATGGTTATTATTTTTTGTCTTATTTTCTGTATTCCAGCTTGTATACTTTAGGCTTTTTTTTTTTCTGGAAAACCCTTTCATTATTTGCTTTTTTCTGCTTATGAAATTTATTTGATAGTAGATGGGTTTTTGCCAGTTAAGCCAGCCAACTGAGCGGGGTGATTGTGAATAATCCGTTTTAGCAAATTATTTTCTCCCCATTTAATGGACTGCCATGTATTAGATGGGTGGCGGTCATTGCAGCGGACTCTCCTTGTTCTACATTGGTGGGATCTCAGTTAGCAACTCAGTCATTATAGTAACCTTGGTGGTCTCCGGAAAGTAGCCCACTTAATGAGTAATCAAGGCGTAAGCTGACAATAACGAGAAATGTCTGCTGTTTCTCGCACAAGCTCCTTAATCATTATTATTATAGTCAAAGAGCTGAAGTACAGTATGAGTCAGACTAGAGGCAGGTTATTCTCTGCTCATGAGACCAGCTGGCATTGCATTTGAAGGGTCTGCAGGTTTATAAAATATTTTTAGTGCTTGTTCTGTGCTTAATTTTATTTTCCTTGTCAAACCTTTTAGCTCTATAAAGTCCTGTAATTATTTAGTCTGCATGTGAAGGTGCTTTAACATGCAACTGTTTCCTGTAGGGTTTTTTTTGTAATGTAATTGTATGAAATGGAGGGAGATGTGTGTGTGCGTACGTGCAATTGTGGATGTGTTTGGATAGGTTTTGTGCTGCTCAAGGGGCCAGCAGCTGTAGACAGATGGCAGACTTCAAACGCTTCACTAGCCATATGCACAATTTACCGCAGGAAAACAGGTCCTAGCATGTCCAACCAACTAACTCCAACCTCATGTGACTCTTTTTCCTTCCTGCTGTAGGCCACCGAGCTGACTACATGACCACAAGGTAAAATGCACACCGCCACATCCACGCACATTAGCTTCTGTTCAAATTGAAAGTGCACTACACACTCAGACCTGTGTCGGTCGTGACAGAGACTTGTGTGAAATGTTGCTGCAGACCATCACCACTTTGGATTTGTGCAGTTTCGTACGTTTTTGTATTTTAAAGCATACCAGCATTGATCTAAAAATGTGAAGATAACCGTTTGCATTTAAGTCACGTTTCCACATCACTGGCTGAAAGTAGAAGCTAAAGCAAACCTGCAGTTCTGTAAATGACCACCTGAAGTTAGCTTCAGTAAAGAGACTTTTAAAATGACCAACTTAGAACAGGAACATGTAGCCAACTATGAAAAGTCCTAAATAGCACAACTTTGCACCTATTTGTTTACTTGAACCTTCTGAAGCCAGCACCAACACAACTTGAGTATGAAATAATTCAACCCTCGTGTCTTGTTCTAGAGCTCCCATAGAATTGAAATACAGCAGTAGTCCCTCGTTTATTGCGGGGGTTACGTTGCGGACCCCCAGCAATAAGGGAAAATCCACAAAGTAGCGACATTATATTTATTTTAGTATTTATATAATTTTAAGGCTTTAGAAATCCTTTCCACACTCTTGTTCAATGTTCTAAACTCGTAAACCTACGTCATTTTAACAACATATGTAAAGTACTGTATATGTAGCTACTAAATTTTACTCACCAGCTCTGCAGAACAGCAGTAGCTCGGTTCTGCTCCAACTTGGTTCCGTTTTGGTGGACCTACCCTGCCGGTTCTGTGCAGCCCATGAGCGCTGAAGCGCATTTTGTGGGGGTGCCAGACCTTCGGCTGGCTGGTGCGGGACTGGTGGTCCAATTGAGCGGCCTGATATATATATATATTTTTTTGTCAGGGGTCACCACAGCGAACTAAGTCGCACAAAGACTTGTCAGTTATTTTTACACCGGATGCCCTTCCTGACGCAACCACAGACACTGAGCTACCACAGCCCTCTATGTGGAGCAGAGAGCTGCTATCTAGGACACCCGGAGGAGCAGATAGGGGGTTAAGGGCCTTGCTCAAGGGCCCAGAGTGGGGCAAATGAGGGTGGAGGCACATTTTGACGTTGTTGGTACCCGGAGTTGATCCAGCGATCTTCCGATCACAGACCCACCTTCTCTAATCTCTGCACCACCACTCTCCTTGTTTGAGCGGCCTGATAAAGAGAAGAAAAAAGTCCCGGTGGGCTCCGGAGGGAGCGCTGGACCTACAGCGGCGCGTCCCCACTCGGAAGTCCTTGTGGGCCAGCTAGCAGCTCTCTAGTTTGCCGATGGGTCTGGTTCTGTTTCGGTTGTGGTCTGGTTCCTTGCGGCTCTCTGCATCCACTCGGCGCCGAAGTCACTGTAGAGGACCAAACTTTTTCCAATCAGATCAAAACTTTCCCTCTAGTATTTCAGCAGAAGGACACGGGTCTTCTGGGTGGGGCACTGTTGGCTTCTGGACAATGTAGTTCTTATGAGTGGTGATACAGTGTCAGCTTATTGAAAGAAAATTAAAAATGGCGGCACCTGTCCAAAGTATTTTATTTTTTTAACTTTTTACTGTATGGTACCCTGTACAGTCCCAGTCACGTGAGTAATATTAAAGTTGACAATCATGTGTCGTGTACAATTTTTTATATTTTTAACTTTTTTACCCATGTTCAATCTTACTTAAAAAAAACGCGAAAGAGCGAGTCCGCGAAAGTTGAACCGCGAAGTAGCGAGGGACTACTGTATAGCATTCAGTTAACTGAGATCACTCTTATTCATAAAGTCTCTGATTTTGAAGTGTGCTTCCAGCTCAGCTGTAGTTTAACTGAAATTTACACTTTGATTTGTGGTTTTACAGAAACAGTTATAGTTTGCTGTCTCGTTAATAGAAATTAAGACAACAATCTTTGCTACAATATGATTTACTTTGGTAGGTCACTTGCTAACTGATTTTACTGAATATGATTGACGTTAAATTGGAAATGCAAAGATGTGTTTTTTCTGAGTTAATAAGAGGTTTATAAGCTTGTCAGGTCTTTGCAGCTAAACGTTTGTCCCTTCGGCTGAGTGGAAGAGGCAAACACAGTCCTGGACTCTGTTAATCTTCATTCCTGCAGGTCACAAGAAGCCAAACTGCATTATGTCACTCACAGCCTCAGCCTAAAAGAGGCTGTTCCCTGCAGGGCCCGTCATGAGATGGATGTTGACACATACAATGTTCCCAGTGGGTCTGACATTTCACTCTGCTCTGCGATACACTGTGGAGGAAAGACAGAAAAAGAAATGTGAAGACAAAAGTTATTTGGTTTTATAGACTTTTCTAAATACTTTTGTTTTGCATCATGTCAGAGGAGGTCTTTAAGATTAGTTGAACTCGTGTTTTTCAAGGCTGTTTGGAGAAAATCTCTGACATAAAATCTGAATTATTTATGAGGTGTCATTTGTAAGTTACACAGTCAAAAATTAACAGCAATATTTTGGTTTATTTAGCCTTTCATAAGAATATATATATATATATATATTTTTTTTTTTTCCAAAGTCATATTTTCTCCATGCTATTCATACATTTATAAATGTCATAGTTCCCAACTAAATATTTAATTTGCAAGTTAAATATTTAGTTTACAGTTAGTAAACTAAATATTTAGGTGTAAATAAAATATTTAACTTCCAAGCCAAATATTTATTTTCAAAACTAAAAATTTAATTTGCAAACTAAAAATTTAATATCTAAGCTAAACATTTAATTTCCAAAATACAAAAATTATTTTCTAACTAAATATTTAATCATGATCTAAATATTTAACTTGCAAACTAAATATTTAGGAGATTGGACCAAAATATTTAGCTTTCAAATTAAATATTTAGATCAGAGTTTAATATTTAGTTAGAAAATACATTTTTTTTAGTTTGTAAATTAAAATTTTAGCTTGGACAATAAATATTTAGTTTGGAAGTTAAATGTTTAGTT